CCAACACCATGGTTGCCGAATACTCATACATTGCGATCTGATATCCATCACTTCGTGACGATGTCAGAGAATATGAGTATGTGGTAAGGAAAAATACGATGGCGGCCTATTCAAAACTAATTAACGCCCAGTAATCACAAGCTCGTAGGAAAGGTGGCATACCTGTAAAACAGCATCGACCATGTACCAGGTAAACTTCCTCAGACCAAAGTGTGTTCCTTCACGACCATAACGGTACAGCTCAGGAATAGCCATGAGGACGTCATCATCTACGGCTTTCGTCAATACCGGATACAAAGCAAAGCTAGTCAAAAAATGCTCACCGATATGCCGGTCGAATATACCAATTGCGATGACAGGGCAAAGGGACCAAAAGACGTTCCAGAAAAGCAGATACGTGTAGTCAATGACACTATAAAAATAGCACATATCAGCCGATACTCCCAGGATCAACGGGAGCAGAAAGGGGGACACGTACTATGTTGTGCTCCAGGCGCAGTAAATTTGGAACCAGAAAAGAACCGCGACTATGACCAAGTTCTTGTAGAAAAAGTTGCCGATCCTAAATAGAGTTGAGTACCGGAAAACGAAATCACGAGTGATCGAGCCCACATATTTGCATTACGAGCATAAGACCAGTGCCCGTGAACGAGAAGCAATCGCTTAATATATTTAAACTTTGGGCGTCAAATGTCAACGAGGGAGCCATAAAGATCTGCAGAAAAGACATACCTGAGCAATGGCATAGTCCGAAGAGTTCACCGCTTGCAACCCTTCTTCTCCCGAAATACCGACACCGACATCAGCGGCTTGAATCATGCTGACATCGTTAGCTCCGTCTCCGATGGCCAAGGTCAGGACCTTGAGATTATCCTTGATCATATGGACAAGCTGGGCCTTTTGAAGTGGGGAGACACGACAGCAGATTACAGCTTCGCAACGGAGTCCGATTTGCAGTAGCATTTGTTTGCTAAACTCTTCGACCAGTCAATTTTTTTCACACCCCTAACTTAAATCACAGGCCATCTACTCAACCATTCGCCCTGGTTGGTTCGTGACATCGTCCTAGTAAGT